CTGCTGAAAAGTGGGAATGTGTGAACTCGTACATGAGAGGGAACAGAAGTTTGGATTGATGTGCAGGAAGACAGGAGCTGTGAGAATCCTTATTACTGAGATGGAAAGCACATCACTCAGAGGAGTGTAATTTATGTGCTACACAAAAAATGATAATGCAGAACTCAATATATTTTCTGGCTTTATTACCTGTGGGCTTTCTTTGGAAACAAAAAAAAATAGTACTTTTCAATATAGAAGTTATGTATTTTTCATGTGACTAGAAGTTGCGAATAATTTAATCTATAATTTTACCACTGACACAGCAATTTTGTGCATTCCTTTCCTGCGTAATTGTATTGGTAACAATGAACATAAAAAATCCTAATTACTTTTTTCCCTTTATGCATTTTATTAACTTAACACGTTTTTCTAATCTTTTTCAGAATCCTCAATTTAGTAACACTTCTACTTATGTCATCTATGCTCACTTGCTAAGACAGATAGCAGCCCTAACAGAAGCTGACCATCATTTCCTAGTGCACTGGTCTAAAAAGTAAAAAAAATAAAAATAAAGTTAAAAATTCAGTTTGGGGATTACAGTTGTTATTGTATTTCTATTGATGTTAACTGTTTTATAAATTATATGAAAGTTAATTTAATTGACTAAAGAGGTTGGTTTTGCTGTTTTCAAAGTACATTTGGACATAGTCCACTAAGTGATACTGATTTATAGATGTAAACTGTATATAATGTCTAAAAATGAACATTTTAATGCAAAAAAGCTTTAATTGCAAAATAACTTATGCAAGTTATTTTTCTGTAACACATGCAAAATAACTTATGTATATTATTTTAAAGATACATGTTTAAATGGTATTAATATAAACATTTTTTATGATCTTGGTTTAAATAAAGTTTTATCTTGCATAATTTGCAAAAGATACTCTAACTTTATTGTATGAAAACCACAAATGAGCTCGAGTCTCTGCTTTGTAGGGTAGTAAGGTGGTGAGAGAGCGTAAAGGCATTACATTTTTAATTTAAATAACTAATAGTACCTCACTAAGAGTCATACGGGGATAATTGCCCAAAGAGTGGCTTTTAAGTTGGTATTCCTTACAATGCCTTCCTTACAATGATTGTGCAAAAAGTCCAGTCTGGGGGGAAAAAAAAAAAAAGTTTGAATGGCCATATTCACAGTTCTGTTATCTCCTAGGGAATCTGCTAAAGGATTTTCTTCTCTGCAAGGATGGAAATTATATTTCCTTCCCACCACTCTATAATACGGTCTTGATTTGTCTAGAACTGTGGTAATACATGATTTCATTTGAATTGGTGTTTACAAATAAGGCTTACCCTCTTGGTTAAGGATGCAATAGTCATACGGATATTTCTCTCTGTAAAACATGTATTAGAAATCTAAACCATTAAAATAGGAGAGCTTTTATTTGGAAAATGATGCTTTAATATATCTACACATATGTTTGTATTGTGACATATTGTGACAACACCAAAAGCATGTTTTTAATAAATAACATTGAGATCTGATAAAAACACTAATACGGACAGGGATCATATGAAAGTAACTGCAGCATGTTTGTTTTAGGATTTCACAAAGAAGGTTCAAGCAGCTGGTGGACAGGTTACTGCAATTTATTTCTTTACGCCTGTTTCCTGCAAAACCTGAAGAGTTTCCACCTATGGTGAAATGTACCTGGTGGATTCCATCAGCAACCAAAGTCCTGGCTTTATTTAGTAGGTATTTTTCTTGAACTGTGTGTGCATATGTGCATATATGTATATATGCATACATTTGTGTGTGAGTATGTATGGGGTGGGGCAGGGGGGAATAGTTTAGACTTCTCCTATTCTGTGGGAAACTGACAATGATGGTGGCACAGTATGGACTACAATAAAATGCCAAAAAGTAGTATGCAACAAAAAACATCTTCTATTGGCAAGTTTTGTAGTTACTTTCCAGTAGAGGTTAACTGCTGTATGTCATTTTCCTGTAACAACAACAAAAGATCATTCAAACAAAAATCCACAGAAGTAACTGATGCATAAGGTTTCCCTTAGATATGTGAAAGAAACTGTTTTAAATGTGTTATTGCTATGATTTCTTCTGTAACTGGCTTATCCCCCCAGAAGTACTTAGCATCTAAGAGAAGTTAGGCAATACATGTGGCTCTTAAGTCCCAAACTATGGCTTAAAAAAAGTAAATCCCTATCCAGTTCAACAAAGAGCACTGCGAATTTGACCACTGCAAATGCAAAACAACTTCTCCACTCATCCCCAATGGCTTAGTGACTAGAGCATCTACTGTGGAAATGGGAGGCTTAAGGTCAGACCCCTTTTCTTGAGGGGTAAAAGCATTTTCTTCTATCCAGGAGAAAATGAAACCACCAAGTGAAAATTAAGGTTGGAATGACAAAGTTTTCATTTCACTGTCAACTTAAAGCTTTTACATAGAAGCACTCTGGAGAATCCTGCCTGTTCAGAGCAATAGTTCAGACACACAAGCTCAACTGTATCTAAAATCAAGACATGTTGTCTAGCCATCTATGAGAGAGTTGCTAATTCATTAATTCTTGGAAAAGGGATATTCAAATACACTACTTTCTGTCTGACTGATCAAAATTAAATTGTTCAAGTGCAAACAGAGAAAACTTACTAGCTGTTTGACGTGATATGAATGTTACAGAACGAGGCAGGCAACTTAAATGTGAATTGGTTTTCTTCATTTGGTCAAATACTTAATTTTTGCACTGGTGATTCTAGGTGGAATAGTAGAAACCTGAGAAGCTATGTGTGTATTTGCATGCTGGTTTGCACCGCTCCTTTTCCATCCCTTTTGCAAACGGGCATCAAACGCAAACATAATTGTTAACTGGAAAGCATGTAGATGATATATCCATGGCTATGTGTGAAATGGAATGAAGGTGTACAAGAAATCCATCTCTAAAACTGTTTCCATTGATTCCAGCAGAACATAACTTCCTTTATCCCTGAAACCATAACTTAGTGTATGTCATTAGGCGGGCTAGAGTCAAATGGAGGTTCTCTTATAAATGGGCTTTACTAGGGATTTACTGTTTTCTACAGTAAGTAATATGATGTCATATGGTGTTATGTTATAGCTGTAATTCTGTAGCTAAGATTGAGACAAAGTTTGTGGTAGCTCATTTGGCTTAAAGTTTCTGAGGTCAGTGGTGATCAGGATACCTAGAAAACAGATGCACCAAATACAGGCGCTATTTTAAAATACTTTTGTGGTTTTGTTCTAGATGCTGCAAATAGTCTGATCAGTCCTCCTATTATTTCATATACGGATTTCTATAATTCTACACTTGATCATATTGATCTAATGGAAGAATACCATAACTGGCAATGTTATGGAAATTCTCACAGGTAAGAGGAATAACTACTATCTTGTTAAGTAGTATTTCAAAACACTGTATCTACACTATGTATATCTATCTTATATAGAATGTACGTATAGTGTGTGTGTATATATAGCTAAGTTAAATACTGTATTTTAATTCAAAAACATAGTATTGCTACTGCTTGCTACTGCATGGATGCCAGCTTGACTGTAATAAATCTCATTATGCCATTGCAAACAGGACAGAAGATGTAAATTCTAGATGATGGCAATATGCGTTTATTATTTATTAGTTATTTATTGGCATAGATTTCTCATTGTATCTTACTACAGACATGTTAACCACTGATACAGTCAAAGAAAGTGATGTGGCATGCACACTTACCATGTAATGATGAAAAAGTATCTAATTACCCATACATATGTTGCTCCGATCATATTTGTTCCAGTGAAACCAATTGTACTATTTCTGTTACATGAAAATAAACACACAAGATAAATCTTTACAGACACAAAGCTTGCAAAGGTATTTCTCTTCTTATGAGAGGCAGCCAGTAGTATGACTAAAAAATATCTAAAGGAGCAGGCATTTCACCTTGCTGCTAAAGTTCAAAATCTTCACGTTTTCTTAATAAAAATGTTATTTTGTGTAGCTGTGTTTTTCAGCATATCAGTATGTATCACTCAGTCTTTACAGCTTGAATGAAATAAATTAAAATTTCCCTGTATTTTAAGACTTTTCAGTAAGCTGCTTTAAGACATGAGCCATCCAAATGTAGCTTTGTTCATTCCATGTGCAATTTCCTGGCCTTTAGCAGTTGAGGAAAACTTGGAATGTAATTTCCTCCACCAAAGCAAATTACATGTATTTTAGGCTAGGCTTCTGTCTGATACTTGGTATTCTGCTTGGGAAGGCAAGAAAAACAAACAAACAACCCAACCCACCAAAACCTATGACACATGATAGCAATAAATGTAGAGTAGGCTTTGCACAGTGTCAGTCAAAGCATTGGAATATGAATACTGCTGATCTTCAGTTTGGGGCTTGTTTTTTTTTCGTTGGCACCATCTGGCTGTTTTGGCAGCCACATCCAAACTTACAAAAGGACTATGAGATTCCCACCTGCTCTGGTTCTTTTCAGTTAGGTGGGACACAGGGATTTCAATGTATATCAAAACAAAGTTTGCTTCATACATAATTCCTGGAGTAGCTGAAGTTCAGACTAGCTGTATTCTTTGTTACAACAATCCTTTTTTCTAACTTCACATCTTTTAACTCTTTATTCCACATAAAACAGCCCAAACCACCACCAAAAAAAAAAAATCAGCAACAACAAAAAGCAACTAATCAAACAAACAAACAAAAACCAATAACAACAAACTGCAGTCAGGACTATATGCTTAGAACAAAGGTGACCAAGTTAGGAGCAAGTCCTGGTTTACCTTCCGTATGAAATATTTTTAAATACACGGTTCTTTGAACTAAGTCAACAGTCCTTGGTAAAACATCTTGGATTAGGATTTCCAGGACAAGTGACAATATTTTTTCCCTACTTTCCCTTCTTCCCTCATGACATTAGAATCCAGAGCTCCTCACAGGCAGGATGCAGGGTGCACATGCAGTCTGGATTGGAGATGCACACATAGAGTCTGACACTCTGTGTATTTCAATATGCAATTCTGCTAAGTGATGCATGAGCTAAATGAAAACTTACCAAAATAACCAGTAACAAAAAAAAATAATCTACTATCTTGAGGATTTCTGAAGTTTTTCAAAATTACTTGTATTATTTGGTTGCAGTGGAATCTGACTGTGATTTGATATTTTAGAAGTCCTAAACACTTGTAACTCTGGGTTAAGTTTGAAGGACCTGTGGAAAATCAGTCAACTTGAAAATCATTTCTGTAGCACTGAAGCCAAACCAGAACTATTTCTACCTAAGAAAATATTTCTACCTAATTTGTGTACCTAAGAATGCTGCACTGAGATAGCTGCTTTTCATGAATTTAATAAGAAGATATTATTGTTTTCTTTATTTCAGTGTAGCAATTAAAATTTAAAATTCAGTATTTAAAGCAGATGACTGGTTTGTTGATAAAAAGATCTGTAATGAGGATAAGTATTATCACTAATTACTGTTTCTAGTAGTATTTGCAAATAGATGTTCTGCTGAATTAAGTATCTATGTATACAACACAAAAAAAAATAGCAGCTATTTGCAAATTATTATTAGTGGAGGGAAGGTAATTACTGAACAAGAATGCAAAGATTAACTCCTGTATTCTTAAGATAATATGCTAGATGCTAAAAAGGAAATATTTTGTCTTCCTTTCTCTTGTTGTTAGGTTTTCTTTCTGTCAGTACCCATTTATTATTTCTATAGCAGCAAAAAAGGTCATTATTCAAAGGGACTCAGAGCAGCAGATGATAAGTATTGCACGGGTAAGTAATTTAGTGATAAATGTTTGTGTCTCGCCCATTGATATTTTTATAAGTTTTTGTTAGACTGATAGTATGTACAGCCTTTCATCACAGCTTCTAGTATTTCAGACTGCCCTGAAAAAGAACTTGAAACTTTTTACAATTACTAGTCTACAAATGTCTATGCTGGATTCTCTCAATATTTTTTCATTTTAATCTGCTTAGTTTTGGGATGCTTATAATACCAGTGTTGTGGATATAGAAATACAGAAATTTTAATTTTTGTTATCTTTTTTTGAGAAACCAGTGTAATACTCTAGGATGTTAAATTAACAAGATAATTAAGGAGGAAAAATTCCAATGAGAATTTTGGACTGTTTGCTGTTTTACTCTGTGAAGACGTTGTCAAGGAAGACCAAGATGCAAGTCTATGTTCACAAGTCACAGAAGAGGTGTTGCTTCTGGCAGCCTCTTCTGTTTTGAAAGAGGCATTGTCTATCTCCTTCAATGGGAATTTTCTGTAGGTGCTAGGTGATACTGGTCAATGTGGCAGCACCACCACCTGTCCATTTCTGTCTTGCTGGATGTGTCTTGTGAATAGCAAAGTGAAGCACAAGACAGTCTCTTGAATCTTATTTGGTATGTTTTTAACCACTTGGGGAGTTCAAAAGGTTGCTGCACAGTTGCCTCCTTCTTGTTCAACTTCCTGGTAATTTAGGTCAAATATGGTGTAAATGCTATCTGCAGTAGAAGAGAAATTGCTCTCCATCTCTTAGAAGATAATTGAAGCAGCTATCATATTAGGGTAGAGTCTTGTATGCAAGGTACTAAGGACTTTTTAATAAGTGTGGCACCGTTTTCTTAGTGAAGATACTTCATAAGTGATTTTTTTTTATTCAAATAGCAAAGCCTTGTGGATAAAGTCTCTCGCAGACAGAAACCTGACATGAATATGTTGTTCCTAAATGTGAAAGTGAGGAGGACACACCTTGTTAGTGATTCGCTTGATGAGGTAATAACAAACGTAATTAAATGGTGTGTTGCTGCTTAGATTTTTGTTTGCTAAGTCATATTTAAATCCTTCTGGCTAAGAGATTGGGAATATAACTGTATATTAAATAAAAAGAACTGAATTACTGTCACAATAGCAGTGCTGCAGAGTAGATTGGGTTAGACATTTTGAACTTTACTTTTCTATCCTCATACTGCTTCACAGCTAAGCCCATAATAAACTTACATGTTTGCAGTTTTTGACTTAAGAATACAGTGCATAATTATCAGGTTATATAGGACTTCATTCTATGATAGGAGCATGAATAGTAAGTGAGTAATCACTAATGAGTTTGTTCTGTTCTAATTCTTGGAATGTTTTTATTCTTTTCTTTCACTAACTTCTAAATCCTGTAAGAATTTTTTTTTTTTTTTTAGGCTTTCTTAAGTTCTTCTCTTGATTTTAACTAATTCCTTACGTTCACAAATGTAATTTTTCCATTTTTAAAAATTAAATAGGTGTGTCTGTTAAAGCAGGCAATTCTTTATTTTCCATTGAAACTTGCTCATTTGCATTATTTAATGAAATCTAGTTCCCTACTCTTTCTCAATACTGAAAACAGCCTGATGGTATCACAAAATAAGTCCAAATGGTGAAAACAAGACCAAACAAAATCTGATGACTCACATTTAGAGAATAGAAGTTTAAACTTATTTTTTTCTAGATTTAGACCTGTCTGCTTTTGTCTTTTCTCAATACAGAAATCATAATACAGAAGAACTATGAGTGGTAATACTGATTTCTCTCAGGCATTGTAGGGTGTTTTTTTACTAATGGAAATAACAAACAGAAACTTGAAGAGCTTTGATAGCCAGAATACTCTCCTATTTCTTTCTGATGATAGGGACTTGAGCTGAAAGATCACTTCTAATTGTGAAAGGCTGTAACTTAACTCTTTGCAGGTCTTTTGCATGCCTGCCTGGATGAAATGCTTTCTCTTAGGACAAAGGAATGGAAAGAGCTTGTTGTCATAGTCTAAAAAAGTTTTACAAAACAGCTGATAATTACTAGCAGGTATCTTATGTTGAGCAGAGTGGTGTCCAAATATTGAAAGTTATAGCTACCTCCTTATTTCTAAATATCTCCAAAGGCTCTCTTAATTATTTTTTTCAGTCTATGATTTCTTCCTGGCAGATTGTCTTCTGTGTAGGTAAAAAATTTTATAGGTCCAAAATACTCCAGACTGACTCAAATCATTGTGTCTACTAGCTTATTAGAAGTCTATTTGCATACTACCTTCTTTTCAAGCCTAGAGAGGGCACCATGTGCCAAGGTAGTTGATAATGTCAAGTAGTCACAATCATCTTATTTCTGCAATTCAATCATTGTTTTAATATAGTTTTGACCTGCTAGTAGGAGATGATGCAAATTACTAATTTAAACAAAGCAAGAGTGGCAGAGACAGAGATGTATTCTCTATGGCTGGAGTTAAAAATAATATGTTAAATCACCTTTTTCTTCTTCCCCACCTATTTTGCAATAGCTAGCAAGAAAGAGGGCAGATTTGAAAAAGAAGTTGAAAGTCACGTTTGTAGGGGAAGCTGGTCTTGATATGGGTGGCCTGACAAAAGAATGGTTTCTTCTTCTGATTCGCCAGATTTTTCACCCAGATTATGGTGAGTCCTCATAAATAGTCTTGGTACAACGTGAAAATTTGTTCTTTTTAATATATCAAAACAGTGATGGATAAGAATTCTTCACTAATCCTGTGTTAGGCAGGCAAGTTAGGAATTGATGTAACCAAAAGTGGCCAAGTTATAATTGTCTACAAATGAGAAGTTTTGGCATAGAGGAAGGTGGAAGAGAGCAGGAAGTACTTGAAGAGCTTGGCTTTTGACAAGGAGGTTCAAATATTGCTTAAAAACTGAGATTGATTTGTTTGAGTAGTATAGCAAAGTTAGAGGGTGAACAAATCTCTGATCAATGGGAAGGTTTAGAATTAAAATTAGGATTCAGACTTTAGTCATGCTAGACCTTGTTTCAGAAACTGAAGGCCCAATGTTCATGTTTTGTTAGCATCCCTAGGCTAGCGAACATATTGGATATGAAGCAGGGGGATTAAAAACTAGCCACAGATTTTTCTTGAAGTCCTTCCTCTGATGTGTCTGTGTTGTAATGGTGTTTCCATCTCTATCCAGAGACAGGCTCTTGATTTACCTCTGGGCAGATGGGAAAATGTCAACTATTTTATGGAGCAGAACAAAAATAATTTAAATCTGTTATAACTCAAATGTAATCAAGCCTTTGAAAGGGTTGTTCCCACTTTTCTTCTGTTGTTTTCCATGAATGTTAGTGAATTGCTAGACCTACTAACAATCTAAGAAGATTAAGGAAAACCTATACAAGCCATGGAAACACTGACACTGGTCTGCCTTTGGAAATTTTCTAGATTTCACACAAGTACATTCAGATTATATTTGGATTTAAGAATAAGTTTGTTCCATTTAGCTTTGGTTGCAACTGGAATATGATATTCCTCTTCCAGTATAGGAGGAGACTTATAGCAGCCTCTGAAGTAGATGGTTTAGTAAATATTCAAGTGGAGATAAGGCTAACTGTATTTGTTTGTTACCTGCCATCCTTTCCTCTTTCTTCTCATGCTGCATTTTCTGTTTTTAAACTGCCCTCAGCTGTCTTCATATTGCTAGTTTAATGAGTTTTCCTGGTTTATTTTAAGTAGCTATAATTTGATACTGTTACTGTGCTAACTTCTGTCCCTGTCCTCCTGTGTATCAGTGGTTTCCAGTTGCACTAATCATGTCTGCAAGTTCTAGCCCTATTGTGATGAGTATAGGTAGAGGTTAGTTCTTACTTGAATATTTACCATCATATGTTCTATTTGGGGTATCTAATTATTTGCCACATCTATGTGTGGCCAATATTCTTAAAGTGGTCTGAAATGCTCTCAGGAGCATCTTCAGTCGGGTGCCAAGACAATGTAGGCAGACGTGAGACTGAATTAAATAGCATGCCTCTGCTGTTACCAGGATCTGTGAGCCCATAATGATGTTTTCAGGCCCGAGGGGGGGAAAAAAAAGGAAGATGTTTTTGAGTACAGAGGAGATTGGAACACATGAATGAGCATTCATAAATAAGCAGTTCTGTCTACTTGTTTTACTTGGCTGTAGGTGGATCCGGGTGGGCTTTTTTCCCCACTCTGGTGTTTCTCAAATGACTCAGCTTTCTTCAACTGTGTATGGATGCATTACTGATGTTGTAAGGGGTTAAAGGGTTACCAGGCTAGCTTTTTAATTAGAAACATTGATTTCCAGGGACTTCAGCATACACACTGGTAGAATGCAAGAGCTTGTCTGTCTTTTCTTCATGCCCATTAAATGCACGATCCTCTGTTGTTTGTAGGACTCCTTCTAAAGGTCCAGAATTTTAAGTCATAAATATGTCCTTAAACCTGTGGAGATCATATGCCAATAGCCCTTTTCCTAGTTTAAACACATCTGTGTGGAGAGATGACATTTGGTGGTAACAACCTTAATAGGAAATAATTCATCCTGGAGAAAGTGTTCTGTAAGTTTGACAGTTCTGTTAGTAAAAATGTGTTGTCAGCTGAGCTTGGTAACTGATGAGTTTGGAAACATTTGGGAGTAATTTTTTTTTTTTTTTTCTCACCAGCTCTGGCAGGCTTTCTCCCTTTAATGTGTAAATTCTTTCATTGATGTGACTATCAGCCAAATGTGGGAGGAGTTCAGAAATGTTCTCATCCCTTGGAAAGTGACTGTATACTGTGCTGTCTTTGATGTTTGAGTTGCAAGTAATGCATGTCAGAAGCTTAAAAGGAGAAATGTAGGAAAACATCACTGTTATTACCCTTTTCAGATAAGCTGATCCTGCAGATAAATCCCTGAATTTAAACAACTCCCAGTTAAAACAGTTTTCTGCCGTTCTGTGTGTGTTATGATGCTTTCTTCATCTTGTTGTGGACAATTAATAAATGGGATTTGAGACCCATTTTGTTCCAGCATTATTGCATCTTTCAGTATGTGAACCTTGCTATGTGTTGTCGCCAACACTCGGACCCGGGATCGCGGCAACTCAGCCTCTGCCATTGAGGGCCACCGAGACCCAGGCTCCGAGGTGGAGGACGCAGCAGATGGCGGCTGTTGTGTCGTGGCCATGGCTTATCTATGACAAGCCCCGCCCACAGCGCCCCTCGTGGGCAGTCTGAGCCTTCCGTCACATCGCCAGATCTTCCCCACGCCAGCCCCTAACTAGGGTGGGCTCTGCTTGTCACAACATCTCCCCCTCCCCATGACAGAAGATTAGCATTTTATTTACAGCATAAGCAAGCCATAGCAAGGACAGGATAATAGCAAGAGATTCAAAAAGCATAACAAGCTCAAAGGCACAGACTTAAGTTCACCATATCAGCGTAACTTCTTTAAAGTTGGTTATTAAGAGTGTCTTCCTTTTCAGAGGGGTATTCCATCAAGCCAAGGTATTGTTGTTGTAGTATCATCAGCTGTATCGTCTCAATCCTTCCTTTGACAAAGGCTACAAGTTTATTGAGGATGCAGGGACTGAAAGTTAAAACAATTAGTAGCATTACAAGAGGCCCTATTAATGTAGAGAGCAAGGTAGTTAGCCAAGGCGATCGATTGAACCAAGATTCAAACCTTTCTTGCTGCCTCTCTTGGTGCCTCTCTCCTCCACCTCCTTTGAGTCAGTCCTTCTCTTACCTTTGCTGAGGAATCTCATACCACTCCTGTGTGATCAGCATAAAAACATTCTTCCCTTAAGGCAGCATATACCCCCCCACCTTGTTGTAAAAACAAAAAAAATTATTTTTTTTTTTTTATTTTAGTGGCTGTGCTTGCGATTCCCAATGTTACTAAGGTAGTTAGGGATATTGCAGTTATTGGTTTTCTTTTTTGTATTGTGTCTCTCACTTTCCCAATACATGTATATACTTTCTCCTTGGTGGCAGAGTATTTTAGGTGTTACTGAAACTTGGATGTAAAACTCAGCACTCTCATTAAACACTTCTAGCAGATGACTCCTTCTAACAGGGAGTTAATCCTGTCTTTGAATACATCCACTATCCCTCTTGTGCCAGTATAATCC